GTTTACTGTATTTACTCCTGGGTTACCTCAGCGCAGTAAGACTGTGCACGCTCTGACAACTGTCTCGATTAGCAGCGGAAATTTTGGGGTCAATTGTACCGATAGTCCTCAACTCACGACTGGTTATTTAGCAAATCATTTGAAGTTACAATGGATGTAACCATAATTGGGCACACACACACACACACACACACACACACACCTGTGGCCGCATGACCAGACTTCAGGTGCTTGACAACACCACCACATTTACAACCATTTGCAACATCCCGCAGTCACATCTTTGCGTTTTACAACACGGTTTTGACGAAAACCGGCACTGACTGTAACGAAGTGTTGGTCCGCTTAACAAGCGTGTCGTTAGCTCAGTGACTGCGGATTCACTTAGTAACCATTGCAAAAAATCAGGTCACTCATGTGACAGAGCCATTTGACACTCTCCTGACTTATAACCAGGACGGGCAAGCTCCAAAACGGCCATAAGTTGAGGACTTCCTGTACAAACATCCATTCTGATCAGAGCGCCAATTCTGCAGGACTGGTAGGCCGAGGCCCACCCAATCCAACGATGCCCGCTGGCCCATCATCCTTGGCCCAACCTACACTGAAGATCTCCATGTAGCATCTGATGAGGTCTTCCACCACTTGTCCAGCCTTGAAGTCCTTGCCGTCCGTCTGGAAGAGTGTTGGCCCGAAGACGATGGCCAGGTTGTGAGTGGTCATCTGGTTCTCGTCAGAAAAACACTGGATGCTGTGAAAGAGACAACACGGAGCTGTGGGACGTGGACCCCATAATTGTCTGCCTGTCTAAGGAAGGGTCTACAGCAAGGGTATCCAAGCTTGGTCACTTGAAGACTTGTGGACTTCAGCTCCACATTCAACTCCACTTGAAGATTTGTGGACTTCAGCTCCACAAGTTCAACTCCACTTGAAATCTTGTGGACTTCAGCTCCACAAAGTTCAACTCCACTTGAAGTCTTGTGGACTTCAGCTCCACAAAGTTCAACTCCACTTGAAGTCTTGTGGACTTCAGCTCCACAAAGTTCAACTCCACTTGAAGTCTTGTGGACTTCAGCTCCACAACTTCAACTCCACTTGAAGTCTTGTGGACTTCAGCTCCACAAAGTTCAACTCCACTTGAAGTCTTGTGAACCTCAACTTCCAGAATTCTCCAACCAGCCATGTTGGCTACGGAATTCTGGGGGTTGAAGTCCACAGGTCTTCATGAGATCAAGGTTGGACATCCCAGGTCTACAGGGAAGGTGGGGCCAGTAGAATACCCTTCCTCACATCCCAAACACAGAACCAATTCAAAGGATGGTTAAAAGAGCTGAGTCTGTCCAGCCTAAGAAGAAAAGGTTGAAGGTGACACCACAGCAGTCTTCCAATTCTTGAAGGACCATCCCAGGGAAGAAGACATGGCCTTATTCTCCATAATGCCCAAGGGTAGGACAAGAATCAACAGGTAGAAGCTTTAAAAAAGAGATCCAAACTCAAAATAAGGAGGAACCTTCAAGAGATACAAAGCAGTTGCGCAATCTCCCTACATAAAGTTGTGGTGCTCCATCAAGAACTGGACAGGATGATCTGAGGATTCCCACCCTGGAGAGGGGTTGGACTAGAAGACCTCTTAAGGCCTTCCAGTCCTAGGATTCTAACCTTCTGAATCCAGAAGTAGGAGCCAAGCAGTAAAACTCAAGGGTTGTCCAGAACTTTCCACCCAGGAGAGAGGGACTCTTCACTTTCCCATCCCAGGTCACCACTCACCGGTAGAGATGGTTGATCAAGGCCTTCATGGTGGCTTTGTTGACCACCGGGAGGCTGTTGAGAAGTCTACGGTAGCGGCTGATCCTTTCCGCGAGGTCCTCCAGAGCTGTCAAGAGAAGCACAAGACAGTGAACAAGGGGGAGTCACCTTACAAATAATAATAATAATAAAGTTGGAAGGGGCCTTGGAGGTCATCTGGTCCAACCCCCTGCTCAAGCAGGAAACCCTATACCATTTCAGACAAATGGCCGTCCAGTCTCTTCTTAAAAACTTCCAGTGTTGGAGCATTCACTGCTTCTGGAGGCAGGTTGTTCCCCTGGTTAATTGTTCTGACTGTCAGGAAGTTTCTCCTTAGTTCCAGGTTGCTTCTCTCCTTGATGAGTTTCCATCCGTTGCTTCTTGTCCAGCCTTCATGGGCTTTGGAGAATAGCTTGACTCCCTCTTCTTTGGGGCAGCCCCTGAGATACTGGAACATTGCTATCATGTCCCCCCTCGTCCTTCTCTTCATTAGACTAGACATCCCCAATTCCAGCAACCGTTCCTTATATGTTTTAGCCTCCTGTCCCCTAATCATCTTTGTTGCTCTTCTCTGCACTCTTTCTAGAGTCTCAGCCTCTTTTTTACATCGTGGTGACCAAAACTGGATGCAGTATTCCAAGTGTGGCCTTACCAAGGCCTTGTAAAGTGGTATTAACCCTTCACCTGATCTTGATTCTCTCCCTCTGTTCATGCAGCCCAGAACTGTGTTGGCCTTTTTGGCAGCTGCAGCACACGGCTGGCTCCTATTTAAGGGATTGTCCACTAGGACTCCGAGGTCCCTCTCACAGTTACTACTATTGAGCAAGGTACCCCCTATACTCTACCTGTACATAGTGGCCCCATAAAACCCCTCCTGCATCAGAGATACTTTACGGGCGCCCACCTCACCAAAGTCCACTTGGTCAGAAGGGCCAAGCAAGGTGGGCTCATGCAGGTGCAGTGATGGGTAAGACCTGGATGCCCAATCCCTCACAGGGAGTCCTCCTCTTACGACCAAAATGAAGCCCAACATTTCCGTCGCTAAGCAAGACCGTTACGTGGATTTCACCCCGTTTTACAACCTTTCTTCCTACCGCTGCTAAGGGGACCGCTGCAGTTGTTAAGCGAGTGACACAGTTGTTAAGTGAATCAGAAGGTCGCAAAAGGGGATGACGTGATCCCCCGAGACACTGCAACCGTCATTAAGTAACATGCCAGTTGCCCAGCGTCCGAATTTTGATCCCGTGACCGCAGGGAGGCTGCGACCGTCGTTAAGGGTGAAAAACGGTCGCAAGTCGCTTTTTTTTGGTGCCGCTTCAACTTTGAGCGGTCACTAAGTGAACCGTTGTAAATTCGAGGACTGCCTATCTCTCGTTTTTTTTCCTTTTGACCATAGGACGCTGAAGGGTGAACCAGCAGGTGGCGCCAGAGGGACACTGCAGTGGATCCTTGACTTACAACCATCAAAATCTCCGTTGCTAAGGAAGGCAGTCGCTAAATGAATCGCGTCAGATTTTGTCAAGGGGATCACCCAGTCGTTAAGCGAACCTGGCTCCCTCTCCTGTTGGCTGGAAGCTGGCTAGGAAGGTCGCAAAAGGCGATCGGGGTGGACCCCAGGACGCTGAAGCCGTCGTAAAACACAGGCCGGTTGTTGCCAAGGGCCCGAGTTCTGATCAGGTGACCCTGGGGAGGGTGCAAGGGTCGTAAGTGTGAGGACTGGTCCTGAGCCCCACGTTCTTCAGGGCCGTTGCAAGTTCGAGCGTTCGCTAAATCGATGGTTGTAAGTGAGGGACGAACCGTGTCCCGTGTTTCACGGCTCCTGGCCCACTTTTCAGAAATGCGAAGCTACCCCGGTTTTCAGGGGAAGCATTTCTGAAGGCTCTCTGGAGGCAGAATCCCTGGGCCCTGATGACGTTCCCTAGCTGGGTCATGAGACGTCTGCAAGAAAACATCCGAGCCCTCGGCTCTTCTCCTCCTCTTCCTCCTCCTCCTGCGTTTTGCAACCCCCCCCCCTTCCAGCACTGATCATTCTCATTAGTTGGGTGATAAAAAGTCTGTAGGAAAACAGCCAAGCTCAGAGAGCATTGAATACCCCTCAGTCCCCCTCCTCCTCCTCCTCCTCCTCCTCCTCACAAACCCCACTCCCTTGTAGCACTGATGACGTTCCCTAGCTGGGTGATAAAAAGTCAGCAAGAAAACCAAGCTCAGAGAGCATTGAGGACCCCACAGTCCTCCTCCTCCTCCTCTCTGCAAACCCCCCACCCTTCTAGCACTGATGAAGTTCCCTAGTTGGGTCATGAAACGTCTGCAAAAAAACCACCCAGCTCTGTCTTTCTTTCTTTCTCTTTTTCTTTCTTTTTTCTTTTTTTCTTCTTTCTCTTTTTCTTTCTTTCTTTCTCTTTCTTTCTTTCTTTCTTTCTTTTCTTTCTTTCTTTCCTTCCTTCCTTCTCCCTTCTACCACTGATGATGTTCCCTAGTTGGGTCATGAAATGTCTGCAAGAAAACCATCCAGCTCAGAGGGCACCAAGGAACCCACAGTCCTTCATTTCTTTCTTTCTCTTTTTCTTTCTTTCTTTCTTTCTTTCTTTCTTTCTTTCTCTTTCTTTCTTTCCTTCCTTCCTTCCTTCCTTCCTTCCTTCCTCCCTTCTAGCACTGATGATGTTCCCTAGTTGGGTCACGAAACGTCTGCAAGAAAACCACCCAGCTCAGAGAGCACCAAGGAACCCACAGTCCTTCCTTCCTTCCTTCCTTCCTTCCTTCCTTCCTTCCTTCCTTCCTTCCTTCCTTCCTTCCTTCCTTCCTTCCTCCCTCCCTCCCTCCCTTCCTTCCTTCCTTCTCCCTTCTACCACTGATGATGTTCCCTAGCTGGGTCACGAAACATCTGCAAAAAAACCACCCAGCTCATAGAGCACCAAGGACACCCCCCCCCCAGTTCAGGCCGAGCACTTCAGGGAAGTGGGGATCTGGGTGTGCCCCCCCACCTCTGTGCCTCCTTTACCTGGCACTTTCAGCCAGGCCTGGGCAGAGTCCTTGGTGAAGAGCCCGTCTTCCAGGTCCCGGAAGAACCTCTTGAGGGTGTTGGCCACGTCGTCCAGCTGGTGGTCCTCCTCCTTCAGCCGGACCTTGCGGGCGTCTCGGCGGAGGGACTCCAGCAGGCTGGTGATCTTGGAGTTTTGCCCGCTCTTCCGGTAGATGCCCTCCGAGGTCAGTCCTGGGGGGGGGGAGGAGGAGGAGGAGGGGGGGTGAAGGACTTGCAGAGCTCGACATGGCCCATCACCCCGTCATAAGGTTGGATCTGGTCACGTGATGGACCACTTTGTGTCTGGCACAACTCACAACTCACGGTTGTTTAACTCAAGGACTCCCCGTATGGGATTCTGGCGATTTTAAATTATTCCTAGATTCCTAATTGTTTTGATACTTGTGTTTTTATTGCAAGGTAAGTTGCTTTGGATAGCAGGATGGGGAAGGAAGGAAGGAAGGAAGGAAGGAAGGAAGGAAGGAAGGAAGGAAGGAAGGAAGGAAGGAAGGAAGGAAGGAAAAGAAAGAGGAAATAAGAGTAACAGAGAGACAAAGAGAGAAAAAAGAGGGAGAGGAAAAGAGAAATGGAGGGAATGAAGAAAGGAAGAGAGAGAGAGAGGGAAGAGAGAAGGGGAAGGAAGGCAAGAAAGAAAGAGAAAGAAAGAAAGAAAGAAAGAAAGAATAACAGAGAGAAAGATAGAGAAAAAGAGGGAGAGGGAAAGAGAAATGGAGGGAAGGAAGGAAGAGAGAGGGAGAGGGAGAGGGAAGAGAGAAGGGGAAGGAAGGAAGGAAGGAAGGAAGGAAGGAAGGAAGGAAGGAAGGAAGGAAGGAAGGAAGGAAGGAAGA